CAATTTGATAATAACTGATCTTTTAAACAGTGGCGGATCCGGGAATTGAAGTAGATGGGGGCATCATTGATCGGGAGTCTAGAAGCGTCGCTAAATTTTTTGATAAACTATTTGAAATGACAAAAAACAATAAGTCTTATTTCAAATATTTATTAAATGTAAAATATTTTTTAATATGTAAAGTAAAATTTTATTTTATAAACAATTAATTTTATACAATAAAATACTCTTTACTAAAAAAATTAAACAAAAAATTTAAATTGACCAAATTAGATAAGATCACATTAATTTTTTATTGGGGGCATATGTATATAAAATTTTAAAAAATAATATTTTTAACCTTATCACAAGAAATTAGTTAGGGACACTTGCCCCCTACTCATCCTTAGTGGATCCGCCACTGCTTTTAAATAATGAAGGATATCTCCCCTATATATAAGGATTATAAGAAAGAGAGTATAATTTAAGTAGAAGAAAAATTATAGTAACAATACAATAAGGAAATACTGCGTAATATATTTAATATATGGAGAAATAAAGAAAGTAATAAATATGGAGTATAATATTCTATTTCTATTATTAGGAAATACCCCGTGGTAATGAATACCATATTGCTAAAATGGTCCACCTATTGTGAACTATTCAATCCCCTTCGCCGGCTGGCCCCAGTTAGCTCTTCCAAGTTCGATCCGTACCAAAATCATCTCCCTCCGGCTAATCCGCTATTATTCACCCTTGTTATCTTCATACGGAGTAATTCTGCTTCAAGTCATCGACTCCAGTGCTGGTTCGGGTATGTTCTTACCACGTCTTGGATCCTTCAATCGCTCTGCAAGTACACGTCATTTGATTTCCTTTTTTTTCAGTTGGCTAGGTCTTTTTTCTTGTTGTCTCGGATTAGATCATGCGCCGTAGCATGAATGAATTCCAATAGGTGTTTGTGATTTTTTGCTGTTGCTATGAGTGTAGTTTATGACTCATCTGGGACACCAGGCAAACACATAACTAAATGTCTGTGATCACCGACACTCAGTATCTGTGTTTGACTGGGTTTGACTGGTGTACAAATGAGGCATCCAATTTGGGTGTACCCCTAGCTTTATTCATCTTTGAATCTGAAGAAGTTTTAGCTGTAGAACCTTGTACTCCTTCCGTCCCAATATTAAAGTCACAAATTAGCTTCACACATAATAAAGTTGAATTGACCTACATCCCAAATGGCCCGTGAAAAGATAATGAGGGTGAGGAAGTAATGGGGGTGGGTAGAAACTGGTGAGTGGAAATCGGCGGGATAAGTAGGGGTATTATAGTATTTTTAGTGTTTTAGGTATGCCTAATATGGAATTGTGACAATCTTAGGACACCTGAAATGAAAAGTCTGATTAGTATTGGGACGGAGGGAGTAACACCTAGAGCTGGAACTCGGGCATTTAAACAAGATAAATTTAGAGGAAAATCTGAGAAATTTTGTAGAAAGCTTATGGAGCTGCAAATGATTGCTAGGCCAACTAGGGATATGTTGCAGTGCTGGATATGGATTAAAATTTCTCTTTAGATGATTACAATTAAAAACCCAGTTGATTTATCATACCCATTAATGGCCATACTTGCACTCTATTATTATCTTTTCGCATGATCGCTGTAAAGAGCATCTTAGCTTGGTGCACAACAGACATCTTCTGGCTCAAAGTCATTAAATTGATTGAAAACCAGAAATCTGATTTCACTTTAGGGAGTACTGGGGTGGGCAATTATTAAATCAAAACAACAACATTGGTTCCTCCCTCGTGAGTCGTGACAAGGTCATCACTAATGATGGTGTTATTATTTGAATAGTGTTTTCTTCTCTTTCTTTGCTGAATTGCTTGTTAAAATGTTACAGGATTGCAGTTAATTTCTATGAGACAGTTCATGGCACATCCAAATACATCGCCTCTTATGCTCTCTTCAGAATCCCCCGAGAAAAGCGGGAACTCTAATCCAACTTCCAATATGTGGTCTCCCTACCCTAATTATCAGCAACATAGCTTTGAGTGCTTGAATGGACACGTGGCCATTCTTTGGGATATAGAGAACTGTCCGATTCCCAGTGATGTGCGCCCCGAAGACGTGGCTGGAAACATAAGAATGGCTTTGGATCTACATCCCATAATAAACGGAGCTGTCCGAATGTTTTCTGCTTATGGAGATTTTAATGCCTTCCCAAGACGATTGAGGGAGGGTTGTCAGAGAACGGGGGTTAAACTTATTGATGTTCCCAATGGAAGAAAGGATGCTGCTGATAAGGCTATCTTGGTTGACATGTTTCTTTTTGCATTTGACAACCCTCCACCCTCGTCGATTATGCTTATCTCTGGTGACGTGGATTTTGCTCACGCACTTCACATTCTTGGTCAACGTGGGTATACTGTGATCCTTGTCATCCCTTCTCAGGTGAATGTGTCATCGGCTTTACGCAATGCAGGAAGGTTTGTTTGGGACTGGCAAAGTGTAGTCCGTGGCGATTGCTTTCTCCCTCTTAAAAAAGGGTTGCATCCTCATCGTGGAGGAACCACGGGCATTTCTGCTGCTCTAATGGGACCTTCTGTTAATCCTAACTCAGAAGGTTTTCAAAATGAAGAAGAGGGAATAGTGTACAGAGGCATCTCCGAGAGCTATTGCAGTGCTAGGGACATGTCAATGATTTCACAGACTCCTGCTGAATATGGTTGTACTTCAACTTCAGCTGGAAACATTTCTTCTAACCATTGCCAGAATGACTTGGCATGGGTTCAGCCTGGGGATCTCAATGGTTTAAAGGCCCAGCTGGTGAATTTGCTTGAGCTACGTGGAGGCTGCCTACCTTTTAAACGTCTCTCTTCAGAATACCAGAGACTTTATTCCAGACCTCTTTATGTATCAGAGTATGGAGCATTCAAACTTATTAACCTTCTGAAGAACTTTGGTGATGCCTTGGCAGTGGAGGGCAATGGTCCTAAGAAGATTGTCTATCTTCGTAACACAAGAGCCGGACCAACCTCTTCTCCTCCACTGACTCAAACGAAGAGTGACAAAAAAGGAAAAGGTGTTGTTCCGGTAGAGAACACTAAGTCTATGATAGTAGTTTCAGATGAGTTCTCTGACGATGAACAAGTAATTGTTGAGGAACATCGGGGAAGAACAGAGAAGTCTTATTTAGAAACAGGGACGCTTTCAGAATTTTCTAACAAGAGCCTTGAGAAATTCAAGCAGGAGCTCCAGGAGATTTTTGTGAGCTATTCGTGTTGGATTTTCATGGGACATTTTGAGGAAATATATCAGCAGCGGTACAAGAGGCCACTGGATTACAAGAGCTTGGGCGTGAATGAGCTGGGAGAATTGCTGGATAGGGTAAAAGATGTGGTGGTTGTGTATGAGGAACTAGTTAGCGGAAGAAAGTTTCTCACTGCCGTTGGTGGATAGAAAGCTTCTAGAAGAGTGAGTTTGTACCCGGCGAGGTATGCTGGTCCCACATTATTCGTCATCTGATTTATTATACTCTTATATCTATTAAAGTTTCATGGAGATGGAAGGAGTGAGCAACCATGACTAGATTCATTCAATTGCCGCGTTCCAATTGAGAAATTAGAAATGGGACAGCAGATGTGGAAGCACTGAGTCATGCATGCTCCTTCACTTCATCATAGTTCATCTAGAGTGCGAAAGCTGTTGCTATGTTTTTCACAGTCAACGAGTAGTTACCGTAGTTTGTGTTCACAGTCTGTGTATTAAACATTGATGTCTGGGTGGATTACTGCTACTCTTTAACACGTTAGGGTAAAAAAGGTAGTCACTTCTCATGATTCTTTAAAGAACGATTTGATTATCCACAGCTTATTAATGCAGACAATGACAATTACTTGTAGGTATGGTTCATGTTTAGAACAAGTTGTGAAATAACAGTCCCATTAATGCAAGAGGTCCTTTGTGCTTTCCCCTGTTGTTTTGTATGCTTAAGTTTCATGCCCTCTTCAACTTGAGCTAGAGGTGGAAATATGATCCATTTCTCTATCATCCATTCTATCTATCTAAAGGTAAGTAAATTCTAACTTTTCATTGAAAAGATATCAATAATGAATGAAAATTGCACTCGGAAAGTGTGTGGCAAGAAGCTTTTTACTAAAATATTACTCTAGAGTAGCTTTCTAAGTATGAAGAGTTTTTTTTTGTTCTAATAAGCTGGTTCAGAAGTAGTTCTTTAAAAGCTTATTGGAGCAGCTCCTTTTCAAGCTTGGTTTACAAAAGTTTAGTTTTTTAAGCTTCTTGGAACAACTACACAAAAAGCTAACGCATGTAAACCAAATAGGGCCTTTGTCCCTAGTTATCTCTCGGACACCAGCATTTTCTCATTAATCATTACTCCGTATATAATTAATCATAAATTAATTAGTGAAAATACATCTTCTCTCCGCTGAAAGAATTTCCTTTGAAATCGGAAGGATGGTTCTGTCAAATACATTCAATTGTCAAGCTTAGCTTATGGTTTATGGATGGCAAAAGGAGTCATACTTAGAAGTTAGAACTTATTCTTTTCAACTTAGGACATGTTCTTCCCAACTTATTACTTATTATTAGAATCAAATCAGACCAGAACGAAACAATTTGATATATATCTACAATCAGATCAGACCATTACATGCTCTTATTCTACTTATTTTTATTGTAATTAGTTTAAACCAGATCATATTTGAAACAACTTTGAATATAACTTGAGTCCGATCAAATAATTTTAGATCAAATCAGACTAGGCCTTAATTGGCTTAATAAAATCAAATCCAATTAGACGAAACTGTAGAGAAATTTAATACTTATAAAAAATTCTGCCCTTTGACTAAATTCACAAAAAAGCGTTCACATTCCTCTTTGGCCACTTTGCACAAGACGGGCACAACCTTCATATTGCTTTCATAAAATTAGGCTCATGTCACCAAAGTTTGGATGGGAGCTAGACTTAAACTACTTGGTAAGACATAAAAGGGGAAAATATCACCAGTCCCTCCCTCAAAACTTTCTGGCAAAATCATCAATTGAAGGGAGAAAAGAATGAAAATTCTATAGTACAAGTAAATTGGTTTGTTTTTGGCCTTTAAGGTAGAGGAGGGTATAACTTCTTTGCTTCAATATCTCTATCAGAAGTCAGAAGGTAGGTTGGAATGAGAGTCAGGGGACCCACTCTCGTTCACAACGCTCCTACTGCAGCGTGAACGAGAAGTACTTGAAGACGAAGGTAGGAGGGCCCCACCCGGCGGCCGGTTTGCTCTTCCTCTACGTTCAACCTCATCATATTCGTCAACAAACACATTGTGCATAGGGTCTGCACATTCATATAGAAGCCTGAGGACCTGCTTGATGGAAGGCCTGGCCCTCCCCTCTCTCTGCGTGCACCCTCTTATGATTGCCACTAGTGTCAAAAGTTGGTCGTAGTCGAACGAGTCTCCAATGGTGGGGTCCACAAGTCCAGTTATCCTCGAATCTGACGTTATGTATGCCTGGGCCCACTCTACCAAGTTCTTGTTGTCTTGTATTGCTTTTCTTCCGGACACTAGCTCCAAGACTATCACTCCATAACTGTATATGTCACTCTTCCCAGATACCTCTTGGGTGATCACATACTCTGGGTCCATGTAACCTACAATGAACATGTGTGTATCGATCTTCGATCACCCTATTAAATCAAGGGAAGAATGAAAAATAAAACAAAAAAACTACTTTTTTTCCAACCTGGAGTTCCCTTGATATCTGTGATTACAGGTTCAAAAGAAATAGAGCCATCTTTCGAAGCATGGATGATGCCAAAATCTGCAACCTGGATGAATATTAATTAAAGGGGAAGTTTATAAAAAAAAAAATCTTCCATACATGAAGATATAATTTGATTTAAAGCAAGTTAAGATAGGATTTTACCTTCGCAACGTAGTTCTCATCCAGCAAAATATTGCTCGACTTGATGTCCCGATGGCACAGTGGAGGGTTACAATAGAAATGGAGATATTCCTGCGATGAAGATAAATGAATTCAACAACGGTATAGCTGAATCAAAGCCAAGTCTGAAAGTTAGCTGAAATATGCAGCCAATACCAAGGCATTCGCCACGTCAATTGCAATCTGAATTCTTGTACACCAATTGAGTGGAGTCATGCCTGGACCTTCAAAGTTATTCAAAAAAAATGTTTGAGGAAAGAAGACAAATGTTTTGTCTAATCGATATAAATATATGACATCAGAGAAAGTGAAGCTCAAACAATACATTCAATCCGGGTAATGTAGGATTTATATATAAATCAACAATAAGGTTGTGTTTTTACATGTTTTCCCATGGGAGAGACGGATTTATTTGAACTAAGCAACAAAAAAAGTGTGGGGGAGGAACAAAAAAACAATGAAGATAAGGGGAATACAATGGAGGTGATCGTGTAAGCTTCCGTTTGCCATATACTCATACATTAGAAACCTGCAACATGATTTTTGTTAGTATACATTGTATTGCCATATAATTGCAGGTGTAATTACGATATGTTTTATGAAATTAAAGAATACCTTTCATGCTTTCGAACGCAAAAACCTCTAAGGTTAACGAGATGGCGATGGTGTAAGCGAGCAAGTAGTTCTATCTCTCTGCAGAAATCATTTTCTGCCTGCTTAGACACCTTATCCATCCTCTTCACTGCTGCAACAAAACCATCCTGGAATTCAGCTTTGAACACAGTGCTAAATCCACCCTTTCCAATGATTGTGCTGAAATTGTTTGTCGCCTTCTTTGTCTCCTTGTAGCTGAATTCTCTGAACATGCCACTTGAACCTGCATGGATTTCATGTTTTCCTTTGGACCAAAAAAGAAACAAGGGACATGGCTAGAAATATTACTTCTGGATAAATAGTTATACCTTCCTGAAATTTTCCTGGGGAGAACACTTTTGATTGTTTTGAAGATATTTTGTCAGTCTCAAAATCTACCAGTTTGTTTGTGCGTCGGATAAGAACAGAAAGTACAGAGAGCATCACAACAGACAACACTATAACTGCTATGCCAACCATTGGAACCAATGTGAGGTGGTATTGACGCCGTTCCTCATTTGTTGATGGGAGTATGGAAAACTGAGTGGGACCGGCAGCATCCTCTGGACTTGGAGACACCTGCTGTGGATGTATTGCAGGAGATGGCACTGAAACTAGTAGGAGAGCTTATTTTAGAGCTTATTGCAAAACCTTATATTACAATCGCATTGTACGATCTATTTAGTAAAGTACTTAAGAGCTTAGAATAAGAGTTTATTACAATGTTGTCTTCTGCATTGTTGCATAATAACTAAGCTCTGAGCTTTTTATTTCTGCGAATAAGCCTATTAATCTGTAAATTTATCAAAAAACAACTTTTATCCATTTCTCATTACAATTTTAACATCAATTGTCTTTTAACAATTATACACCAGATTTTGCCAAGCGTTTTATAAATGGTAATAGCTTCTGGCTTATCTATCTTCTTATCAAAATAAGTACCTTTCGACTCACTCCCTATTTGTTTGAAATGGATGTTACAAAACGCAATTTTTTCCTTCTTTCACAAAGTTCAGTAAATTCAGGCAAACAAACTATACGAAGCAGCCCAAGAGTTGAGCAAATATGCCTGTAGGATGAACAAGCCCCTGAACGCCAAAGAAACATATTCCTAAGTCAAGGGCAGATGCATTATCAGCCCGGCTAGCAAGGGCAACAAAAGTTGCATCTCTGCAAGTACTCAAAGTTGTATTTGTAGGGGGCGAACCCAAGATATCGCGCAGAAAGGAAATTCCCGAATTCAAGCACTTATTGCAATGGCTGTCATCTAAGACATGGGCAGCATTGCAATTCGCAGCCACATCTGAGAATTTGGGAGATTGAACCATGTCGGACACTGTAGTCCGGCCTTGGCAGCCATAGTTCACAGGAATTTTCGTTCCAAACCCGCACAAAACAATGGCTGCCCTGCTCACCCCGTGCAGGTGCAGGGTCCGTGCTATGGTTTGCCGGCAAACCTCAGATGTCTCCAAATTCACGCCCAGGTTGTCCGTTTCGTTGGCATATCGAGCTGCCGAAATGGCTATCAAGAAATTGATGTAACGGCAGCACTTTCCTCTGTCTTCTTCGGCAGAGCAGGCGGAAGCGGCCAGTGTGAAGTTGGAACCGCTTAAATCTAAAGGGCAATCTGCACATTTATTGCAATTTTATTTAAAAAACCCCACCGAGAGTAAAAGGAATTTTTTACATTTTTGAGTAAATCCCAGAGGAAAAAGACGGGAATTTCGTAAAAGAAGATCAAAGGGGAAGGAATGAGCTCAGATAAGAAATAGATACCTGAAGGGTCCATTAATGCCACCGAAAGCTGCAACATTTGAAGAAGAAGATGATGAATCAAGAAGAAAACCAGAGAAGGTGGGGGCGCATAGAGTGCCATGGCGGTGACTGGAGAAAGGAGGGGGCGAGGGTGCTTAGTGGAGAAGGTGGATGGAACGCAGCAGAAAAGGAGGCATTTTGCAAAGTGGCGTGGCCGGTGCCGTGTTCAGACCGCAGGCGAAGAGTGGAGTGGTTATGGAGAAAGACGAAGACTGAGAGCTTATTACGAGTGTCTGGACCCCACACTGTCAACATTAAAGAATCCCTTTCCTGAGAATTGATTTTTAGGGGGACGAATTGCGGAATATGTGATGAGTTTGGTCGTGTTTGCAATAAGTTTTTATTTGGTGCACCTTCTATTAATTTTGTGGATCTTTTTACGTGAAAAAAGTATTTTTTTTTTATTTTTTATTTGAAAAAATAACAAATACTTATTTAATTAGTAAAAAAAAGTTTATTTTGATCATATGTAGATCCATGATGGATCATAGGTCTACCATAATATTTGTCTTTTATTTGATCTAATTTAGTTTGAATGTACTTACATTTAAAGTTGTTTTCTCTTTGATCTGAATTGAACTGATTCCAATAAAATGATAATAAGCAATAAGAATAAGTTGAAACAACGGAACATTAGTCCGATGGCACTCGAACTATCCTTTTTAAAACTTATTACGAGTGTCTGGACCCCACGCTATAAACATTAAAGAATCCCTTTTCTTGGAATTGATTTTCAGGGCACTAGAAATACGTAAGAAGCTCGGGACTTCTAATCTTGACTTCAAACTTTCTCTCTCTGTCATATTAGCTTTAACCTCTTTAACTTACCTCACAGTTTTACTGGAAATGAGTTTGAAGTCCGAGACTTTAAACCTTTATTTTTTAAAGGTTTTAATACACATTCTGTAAAAGTAAATTAATAAGATTTCATTAATTCATTAAGGTTAAACAAAAATAATTCATTAAATAAAAAAATTATATTCAATAAAAAAAATATTAAATTTTAAAAAAAATTCATTAATAAAAAAACTAAAGCACAGTGTGATTACCTTTGATCTCGTTTTGTTTTTTCTCATAATACATACGTTTATGATTTGTCTCTCTAATTCATGATCATCAAGATCACCTAATTCCATCCTAAGCAATACACCCTAAAGAGGAACTCTTCATGTCTTCGTCCCTCAGCCTTGCGATCACGGGTCTACCACGTATTATTTAATCATTATTCCAGCTTCATTATATGATTGAGGAATCCTAATTCAACATCACAATCTTTCTTTCTCTTCTACATCATTTCAAGTTTCAACCACACATTTTTATTTTCCTTAAATTTTGTGGCAAATCAAAGAGATAGCCTTTTTTGGGGATGGAGGGAGTATCATATAGACATTGTTGAAATTCTAAATTCTAATTGAGAACAAAAAATATAAAGCTTATATTTTGATTATTTTCTTATATTTTACTCCTATTTTAATTTTTCTCTCATTTTTTGTATTGAAGACACTATTTTAATTTAGTAATTTTTTAAATATTACTACCTCCATCCCAAAATATTTGTCCAGTTTTAACTTTTTCAGTCAACTGTTTTAACCTTTGACCTAGAATTAAATAAAATATATTTGTATATTAATTAGATAAATAATATTTTAAAAATATTTTTTATAAAATAAATGTGAAAAAACTATTTTTGTATCAATATCTGATATCATTTTTATTTAATTTGGGGTCAAAGTTTACCAATTTTGACCGAAAAAGTCAAAAGTGGATAAATACTCCGGGACAGAGGGAGTATACAAAATATATTTCTAAAGAGTACTCCCTTCGTTTCTAAGTATTTGTCCAGTTTTGACTTGTTACATGATATATTAATTATATAAAATATTATTTTGATGTACTTTACACGATAAGTCTAATAAAATCGTTCTTGTATCAATATTGAATAGAGTTTCTATTTAATTAATTGTCAAATTTCATCAATTTTAGTTATAAAAATCAAAACTGAATAAATATTTTGAGACAAAGGTAATATATTATAATGAGAATGATTTTTTTAAAGGAGCACTTGGATTTCATTAAATCTAAGTAACAAAATACAATTGATCGCAAATAATAGAATAAGATCAATTGAAGAAGCCAACCTAAATAAGAAGACTCGACCTCAACACCCTTTCTAGGGATGGGTGCCCCATGCACCTTTGACTCATGGGACCTATAGGTAGCCCCCTCACCTCAGTTGGCTAAGTGACAGATCCAGCTCTCGTGGTGGTAATGCTCCCTATTGCCAAATCGCCCTTGAGAACTTTTTTCGTGGCAGCTTCCAAGTTAGGAGGTGTGGCTGGTAGAGCATATTTGTGGTCAAGCGCCTGCTCATTCCGTCGAAGACAAACTTTGTCTTCCACCCCTTGTTGCTCGGAGGAAGGTCGGAGACAAAAACCCTACCCGAGCGGGATTTGACATAAGCAAATCATTAGCAATGCTTGAACCAGGTAAAACTTCAAATATAAAAATGAATAACCTGAGAGTTGGATTTATTTTTAGGGATTAGGAGATATTGACGAAACAATTGAGCAGTGGATGTTGTAGAAAGATTATTTTCATTGAAAGAATACGTGGGAGTACATGTGTTTATATAGACATGAGATTCCTATTCCTATACAAGGTAGGAGTCAATAATAGGAAACAATATATTTACATTAAATATAGAATATATTTAACATGCTCCCGGCTACGTCGGGTGTGGAGGTGGTCTGATACCCAGACTAGACTTGAACTCGAGGAAGAGCAAAGAAGGCAGTCCCTTGGTGAAGATGTCGGCATACTGGGAGGAGGAAGGCACGTGAAGAACTCTTATGTGGCCGAGTGCGACTTTATCACGCACGAAGTGGATGTCGACCTCAACGTGCTTGGTGCGCTGGTGCTGAACCGGATTTGATGAGAGGTAGACGGCACTGACATTATCACAGAAGACAAGGGTGGCACGCCGTAGAGGTTGCTGGAGCTCTAGGAGTAGATTCCGAATCCAGGATGTCTCTGCAACTGCATTTGCCACGGCCCGATATTCTGCCTCTGCACTGGATCGTGACGTGGTAGCCTGGCGTTTGGATGACCATGAGATTAGGTTGTCGCCCAGAAAAATACAGTACCCGGAAGTAGAACGTCGGGTGTCAGGACATCCAGCCCAATCGGCGTCAGAGTACGCCTGAAGATAGTCGGTCATGGAGCGGGTCAAGTAGATGCCGTGGGTGGCGGTGCCGCTGAGGTATCGGAGGACGCGCTTCATGGCCGTAAGGTGAGAGTCGCGAGGCGCATGCAGGTGAAGACAGAGCTGCTGAACGGCATAAGTAATATCAGGTCGGGTGAATGTGAGATACTGCAAAGCTCCAACTATGGACCTGTAAAGGGAGGGATCTGGAAGTGCCGTGCCGGAGGAGGAGGAGAGCTTTGCCTTCGTGTCGACTGGAGTGGATATGGGGCGACAGGAGACCATCCCTGCCCGCTCAAGAATGTCGTGGGTAAACTGTGTCTGATGAAGGAAAAGACCCTGAGCTGTGCGATGGACATTAATGCCGAGGAAAAAATGCAGGTCACCCATGTCTGTCATAGCAAACTCAGCCTTGAGTTTCTGAATGAGACTCTGTAGTAGTGCTGGGGAGGAGGCAGTGAGAACAATGTCATCAACATATAACAGGAGGTAGGCGGTCCCCGATGCATGCGTGAAGATGAAAGTGATGTGTCAGACTTGCAGCCGCGAAATCCAATAGTCTGAATAAAACGTGCAAATCTGTGATACCATGATCGGGGTGCCTGTTTCAGGCCATAAAGAGCTTTCTTGAGACGACAGACATGATGAGGTCGTTCAGGATCCTGAAATCCTGAAGGCTGGCTGGCATACACGGTTTCCTGAAGCTGTCCATGGAGGAAAGCATTTTTGACATCGAGCTGATGGATAGGCCACCCACAAGACAATGCGAGGCTAAGGACGATGCGGACAGTGGCAGGCTTGATCACGGGGCTGAAGGTTTCGCTGTAGTCGACGCCAAAACGCTGGTTGAATCCGCGAACCACCCATCGGGCCTTATACCTGGACAACTCACCAGACGGGCCAAATTTGTGTCTAAAAAGCCATTTACCGGTGATTATGTTTTG